TTTTTTTAGCATTATCAACTCCGGCATTTCATAATACCTAAAATTTGCCAAATGCTTCAGTTGTGAGAGCAGTTAAGCTTTTAATCCCTTCAGGAAATGTAACGAATGCCGGATCTGCCAGCATGGAGACCCATCATCAGACGATGTAGCACTGGTGAATGAAAAAGTTGCCAGACGCATAGTCGATAAAACAGCAACTGATTAAAATATCAAAATAAATATCTTCCCACTTTTAGTCTGTGTTTTTGTAAACGAATACATGAAGATTTTTTCAGATTTAAAAAAGGCACAACACGGGTGCTTATTTCAAGCGATGTGATGTCTCGCGGCATTGATGTTGAGGATATTGATACTGTCATCAATTATGACAAACCGCAAAATGAGCGATTGTTTGTCCATCGAGTTGGGCGAACAGCAAGGTGTGGCAAAAAAGGAACCGCTGTTTCTCTTGTCACATCGCGAGAAGTAATCAGCTCCTGATTTTTTAAAAATTTTCCCAGTTTTACAAAGTACGGGGTGCGATTTTGCTTCCAGTTGATTTGAAACGCGACAACGAAATAAGAGTTGATCAAAGGAAGTATCTTTCTTTTTGCAGCAGAGGGAGTTGCAGAGTATCCTGCAGAAAGTGACAGTTGCCACCAAGGTGAAAGAAAAATCCTTCGAGGGTGTAAAGGATGCCGAAACAGAAGAGCGCTACCGGCAGGCATTAAACACTCTCAAGGAAACTGTGCAAACTTTCCAGAAAGTGAGATTTACTTTTTTAACCAAATTTCGTTCACTGCTTCATCCTGGCGCACCTTCGTCCCGTTGGTGTAGCTGGCCACGGTTCCATATTTATTGTGATTAGCGCTGCAGCATTCTTGTTGCTGCTTCCTAGTTATTCTTTTTTTCTTCGGAAAGCGAGGTTTTCACATTTCGTCATCGCCACTCTTATAGTTTTCCGGCCTCTTCTCCAGCATAATAATATTCCAGCGTTTTTCAGAAGGCTTATCTACTGATAGGGTGCATGCTGGATAAGGTGACTAGATTGTTTTCCAGGAATCAGCGAAACTGTGATAGTGCTCTATGATTGAAATATGAGGTACTTAGTGAGAAAAAAATTTCAGGCATTATTTTGAAAAAGTCCATTCTGAGCTTCCTTTGATTTCAGGATAGAAGAACACGGAATGGGAAGCCAAATAACAGAAGGAAAGGAAGGTAGAGAAGTCCTTTTTTTGCTCACTTATCATCATTTCTGTTTGACCTCATGATATCTCACTTCCTTTTAGCACTGCTGTTGTGTTGTACCATTGTTTGTTTTCAGCATTGTTTTTGTTTTGCTGATAAAGCTACTACATATCACTGAATCTTTGGCACAGACGACGTGTTGATCACGCTTACTTTTGTTTGCATCTCATTTCGTTTACTCCTCCTGCCAGATGTGCCATTATAGCTCGAAACGAGCAACTTAGGCGCCAAAGCCTCCTCTCAGTCTTCAGCTGAGCTCCGTACAGGACTTGTTACAAATGATTTGGAATGTCGGCACCTTAGGAAGGATGCATATTTGATTAGAACACTGGCAAATTAAAAGTTCC